ACCTAGATATGTAAAATCCTAATCAGGATGAGCCACAAATACAGATTCATAAAATAAAATTATTGGGGGGGGGAACTATAATGATTACAACTGTTGCACAGAGTAACACAGAGACCGACAGAGACCAACAGAGAGATAGATCTTTTTCTTCAAACTCCTGATGCACAAAGATTTGCTCTAGGACAGAAAGTTATTGTACATGTTCTTTTCCTCTGGCCACTGTTTTAAAGGCTGAAAGTGGTTCCTGATATAATATATGTTATATTTTCTTCCAGACAGAAAAAGAACTATTCCTTTCTAATCAATAAGAACCAGAATGCTAAAATAATCCAAAATACTGTAATAGATACTCTTAAATAATTGTGCAACAAAGTAGGATCTCAATGTGTTTTGGAACTAGTTGCAGCATAATTTAATTACTGTCCATTTAATTCTAGTGAGTTCAGTCTAGTAGCCACTGAGAAATCAGTTACTTTTAAAACTAGAAATTATACTTGCTTAAATCACATTGAAATCTCACAACATAAACCTTGAAGACTTGTGATGAGGTTAACAGCCTGGAGAAGGAATTAAAATTATTTACCTATAAAACTCAAGCACAGTACCTTCTTGACATAAGGAAGGACATAGTGTCCAATCACTGTAAGGAGTCACAATGCAGTCTTTCCTGCAGGGCAGCAAACAAGGTCTAACAGTTTCAGGACGAAGGTTTTCGGGACACCTACAATAACAATGAAAACATAAAATGTACAGTGAAAACAATATGGCAGGTCATCTTCAATGCAAACATTCAAAATTATAATAGAAAAGGAAAGGTGACAGGGAGAAATTTTAAAAATAAAATTTCATTACCTTTCAGACCCAGGGATCTCTTTGTTCACTTGTTCCTGTAGCTCTTTCTGTAGCTGGTGTTAGTTTTTTGCATTCCAATAACTCAGGGGAACTCTCTATTGAACCATAAGAGCTGAACAATACCATAAAAATCTCCTCTGTACTCAAGGTATTTCAGCTGTTTTGTGGTTATCCAATGGAATACTATTTTGTCCTTTTAGTGTAATTCAGTAGTAACTATATCAGGACTATTGCATAGGCTGATCACAGTCATAAATTATATGAACAGGAGTTTGAATGGAAGCTGGACATTTATATATAAAAAGTGATTACTTACATTTGATCAAAAAGTATTATCTGAAGTCAGGAAATATCTTTTGTTTTGTGCATGAAATGGGAATTTACTCCAGGGAAATGCATACTAGTTTGATTAAATCAGGAGGCAATGAACTGCCAGATCATGATTCAACATGGATTATCAAAAACTGAAAACAAAATTATTACCATATGGTAAGTTCATCATACTATTCCCTATTATTCCCTAACTCAGCTGTTCATCTAAAGCTGTCTATTGCAAATTCCATCTACTGATCATAGTATTTGTTTTCTTGCCTTTAAATCAAGCTGTTGAGATTATAATTACATCTGCAGCTCTCTCTCTTTCTCTCTCAGGCCTCCAACCATATTCAAGGTCAAATTAAACTGAAGTAATATAAACTGAAGTCTGTTACTCTAAAAATAAGGCCAATAATATTGATTGTATCTTTGCCCACTAATCCTTTTTATTAAGAAGAGTACAAAACATGGTTCTCATTTGCACTTTTATGTACATCTTCTGCTCTTTAAAATCTTATTAAGTGACATGAGCAGGATGGTTCAAGAGATTAACTAACATATTTCTGTCCTTCCTTCACAAGACCTCATCTATTACATATGGCTACTAGCTTATTGGTGCCAGAATTGGAAACCTAGTGATCAATATATACATTTGGAAACAACATTTCTAAGGGATGCAGCAGCTTCGTGAGCCAGAACAGAATAATTTCAATCCAATACATTTGTATGAACAAATGTAGACTTATTTTTAACATCATTCTGTTCATGGAACTATGTCATGATATATCTATAAATACAACTACTGTAGGTACCAGCATTTCCATTATATTTACTTTTTGGGTGGTACTTGTCCCATGTTGAGTCTCACACAGATGACTTTCCTTGTTTGCATCCCAACAGCACAGGTGGCTTCTCCATTCCAACCAGTAGAAGAGTTGAATGTCGACACAGAGGTATCTTCTATACATTGCCCCCATAGACCAGTCTGCCAGTGATAAACTGTACAAGGATGATCATTGCAATTGCGTGTTTCCTGCAGCATGCTGCTATTTGGGCACTGAAGATCACCTGGAAGGAATAAGATCACCTGGATTACCTGGAAGGAATAAGATCACCTGAATCTTTTTCCCATTATACAAGGAATATATAATGGGAGAAATAAAAGGAATTGTAACTATAATGGGAAAAACGAATCTAGATGATGTATCTAGTGTTCTGCCACTCCCACCCCAAATACACCATTTTAATCAAGGTGGGTGAAATAAAATAGACAAGCGCTAAAGCTGTTTGTTGCACTAAGCCTTTGACTGACAGCTGCTCAGCTGTGGACTAAATACTCCTCTATGCAAAATAAAACAAAATATATCCATGCATCTAGAAAAACACACATAAAGGGATCTGGTCAGCCTTTTCTCTGATTATATGGTTTTCTACATGCAGATGCTTATGTTTAAAAGCACATGCTGAAATTATACATTTATCTACAACATTCACTGGTATAATCCAGGCATTGAATTAGAGGTAAAATTTCCTCAACTTGTGCCCCCATCTGCATTATCCCCTCTTCTCACACACCGCAACTGAAGATTTCCAGAATTAATTAATCATACCATTTTATTATACCTGAACTGGGAAACTGGTTAACAACCCTAGGACAATTCAGCATCTGAAACCAGCTTCAAATTATGATTGCCCAGTATTTTTAATTCTCGTAACCAAAGATCCCCAGTTGGGACATAATGGGAAAGTATGAGTAATTATAAGCAGAAAAGGGACACAAGATTTATCAGCCATTTGATACATCTGAACTAGATCATTAAATATGTTCCATATCACACTGCATTTTTTAAGATACAATAAGCAATAACCTAGTTTAAATTGATGTCTGAAATTGTGGATATTTAATCTAAAAATCCATTATATCAGATTACCTTGGACAAAGAACTGTATTAGCATAAACAGGCTATTTTTATTGCCTACGGATATCAGAATGTCTTACAATGAATAGCATCCGCAAACATGAATGGAAAACTTTACAATCTTTCTCCAATGACCATATCATTCGGTAAGAGTTATTTTTTTGTAGGGTTAGGTTAATTTTTCTATCCAAGCATACAAGTAAAAAATTCAGCTAATATCAGGTAATGGAAAATGAAGCGTTTTGATGACGTTTTATTGTTTACCATTGGAATACTGGAATTTCAATAAAAAAGGGGGAAAATCATTATTTGGAATAGAGGCATAGGACACTGTAATAATACGGTTCAGAATATTTGCCCTTCTAGCCTACTACTGTATATTTTGAATGACAACTCTACTGGGTCTCAAACTAAGATGTAACCTTCCCTTGCTGGTACTTAAATTATGCTGCTATTCCCCTACTTCTTTTCCCAAATACAATGGATGCAACTCCAGAGGGAGGGGAAGAGAAGAAAGGGCTATAAAATTTGCCGAATAAACACAGCACACCACAGGTAGATTGCCATGGCTCCTTTCTACCATTCACACCCATTACACCTGACTGGGAAAGGGTCATTCCTATGAAGGTACAGTGGGGCAAAAAAGTATTTAGTCAGCCACCAATTGTGCAAGTTCTCCCACTTAAAAAGATGAGAGAGGCCTGTAATTTTCATCATAGGTATACCTCAACTATGAGAAATCATGGTGGAAAATAAGTATTTGGTCACCTACAAACAAGCAAGATGTCTGGCTCTCACAGACCTGTAACTACTTCTTTAAGAGGCTCCTCTGTCCTCCACTCGTTACCTGTAGTAATGAATCATGGTGGAAAATAAGTATTTGGTCACCTACAAACAAGCAAGATGTCTGGCTCTCACAGACCTGTAACTACTTCTTTAAGAGGCTCCTCTGTCCTCCACTCGTTACCTGTAGTAATGAATCATGGTGGAAAATAAGTATTTGGTCACCTACAAACAAGCAAGATGTCTGGCTCTCACAGACCTGTAACTACTTCTTTAAGAGGCTCCTCTGTCCTCCACTCGTTACCTGTAGTAATGAATCATGGTGGAAAATAAGTATTTGGTCACCTACAAACAAGCAAGATGTCTGGCTCTCACAGACCTGTAACTACTTCTTTAAGAGGCTCCTCTGTCCTCCACTCGTTACCTGTAGTAATGAATCATGGTGGAAAATAAGTATTTGGTCACCTACAAACAAGCAAGATGTCTGGCTCTCACAGACCTGTAACTACTTCTTTAAGAGGCTCCTCTGTCCTCCACTCGTTACCTGTAGTAATGAATCATGGTGGAAAATAAGTATTTGGTCACCTACAAACAAGCAAGATGTCTGGCTCTCACAGACCTGTAACTACTTCTTTAAGAGGCTCCTCTGTCCTCCACTCGTTACCTGTAGTAATGCTTGTTTGTAGGTGACCAAATACTTATTTTCCACCATGATTTGCAAATAAATTCTTTAAAAATCAGACAATGTGATTTTCTGGATTTTTTCCCCCATTTTGTCTCTCATAGTTGAGGTATACCTATGATGAAAATTACAGGCCTCTCTCATCTTTTTAAGTGGGAGAACTTGCACAATTGGTGGCTGACTAAATACTTTTTTGCCCCACCGTATACAGAATTAATCATTATTTCTTCAGAATCCAAACTTCAGCCTAAGCTGGCAACAACTAACCAGGTGTGACCCTGCTTAACTTTTTGAGAGCAGGCAAGTTTGGTCAGATGCTACCGCCAAGCTTGGCTGATTAGACTGAACAATAAAGAAATCTGAGCAATCTGAGCACTGCACTTACACAATGATGAAGTTACAAAAATAAAATCCTATGTGTAGCATTTCATTGTTCTCAAATGGATTTATTCACATGTAAGCGTATTTAGAACTGTGTTCTATGTCAGAAGCAGTTTTATTAAGCAAGTCACTGGGTCTATGTGGGAGAGAAATTCCTTACATTCTGTATCGCTAGGGGATGACCAATTTCCTCAATATTACATATATGAGATCCCAACCAGTTAGTTTTATATTCTGTTAATTAAAGCTTAATTATCATTAACACTCATTAGTAACTGAATGAGCATTACCATACAACAGTACAGAATATTAAGTGGAACTATGTAGCTAATTTCCTATCAAAGCATAAACTGATTCATTAGAGATGTTAATCAAGTAAATGCTTTCAGGCAAAAGTTAGTTTGGCGATAAGACTTCAGATACATATAATCTGAGTGGACACATATGTGACAAAAGAAGAAACATGACATAAATCTACAAAACATGTAGTCTATAAATACGTAGGCTACAAAAACATGGGAGCTGATATATATATATATATATATATACGATATATATATAGTCTTTAAATTAGATATATAACACCAAAGAGGTCTGTACTACTTGCTCTCTTTCTGTTCACCTATACTTCTAATTCTCAATAATAGTATACTAGTGCTAGGAAGTAAGAGCCAAAGTCACATCAGGGATCAATTATTTATTTTGTACAGTAACTTTAAAAAGCAACTAAAAGTGGCTGTTGATGTGTGTGTGCATAGATGCACTAACCTGATCAGAGAAAGGTAAGATTGGTCATTTTATCTTTTTCCCCATCATATCTTTTCTTAATTCTGAACCAGTATTGTCATCACATATGTAAGGAACCAGGTTAAAGATGCCTGGATTATTCTTCCTATATAAGGAAGAGTTGACCAAAAGTGATTATCTAAATTATCACATGATTCAGAAAGAAGGTTGTGAATTTTTTAGCAGTAGCAGTGGCCATTAGAAGCCATGCTGTAAAATTAGTTAAGTCAGAGTCTTTCTTTTTCTACATACTGTTATATTCCTTGACCACTTTGTCTCTGATTGTTCTATTAATTTGAGTATAGGAGTTTGTCAGCAAACAATACCTGCTAGTCTCCCTTGAGTTTGACTTATTTATGCCATATTTGGTCTCCAGTATATATGTCAGCTGCAACGAACACTGTTATTAAATAACAGTGATGTGCATATTTCATTTTTATTATGTCCAGTGGGGAAACATTACACTGTTTACTGTCTTTTTAGATTTTCAGGCATCAATTTCTGTGCTCTCATCTGGAAATAATTAGCTTGATTATGACACCTGTGAAAAACTCAGATCTATTTTTAAAATTTAATGATGATATTCAGAGACGGTAGAAGGAATGACATGCAATTAAACTGCTCTGTCATCAAAAAGTTCCACCTTGAGAATTGCCAGAATATAGATAACCTGATATAATCTGTATTACTATATAAAATAAGCTACTTAAATTTGCTATTGTCTAAAATGAGTTTAATTCCAGATAGAGATGAGTGATGTGCATTGACAGTATCCAAATCATCCTCCAGATTCTGGGATAATTTTTCCCAAATTCAAAAATCTGTTATCTTTTGTCTTTCCCCATTCTTAGAATATATTCCAATAATGGCACTTGCCTATATATGATTTCATCATCTCCCAGACATTGTTGCAAGTTCAGCAATATTTTAGATACCTAAAATGTTCCACATTGGGTGTGAACAAAGGAATATAGTTGATATCTAGTGCCTTAGTGAAGCTAAGAGCTTAAGGCCCAATATTACTTCTTTACATGGCTCTCAAGCCTTTAGCATCATGAAAAATTAAGCATGAAACATTTTGAGGCTCATTTGTGACTCATAAATCATAAAGCTGGAGTACCTATGCTTGGAAAAGCCTCCACCTTCCTGTTTAAAAAGCTTTTAAAAATGTATTTATAGGCTGCCATATGCCAAGGGCTTAGAGGTGGAGAGAGTAACAGATGTTTTGAATTATACAAGTAGATCTATTTGTCCCTTTGGACTCCTAGTAGATTTGTCCCAAAGTTTTTGGAGAAAGAGAAATTTAAAAATACATACAGATAGCCTCTCATTACATCTATTTCTTTCTCCCTCCTTCCCTTTCTCTCTCTCTCACACACAGAGAGTGAGAGAGAGCAACGGATGGATAGATAGATAGATAGATAGATAGATAGATAGATAGATAGATAGATAGATAGACAGATAGACAGACAGACAGACTGACTGACTGACTGACTGACTGACTGACTGACTGACTG